GCTGCGCGGCGGGCCCCCGGAGGCCGCAGGAGCTGAAGGAGGCGGAGAACCAGAGCGCGACCGACCTGAGGTGAGGCGGGCAGGCCGCGCCGGGAGGGCTCTGCCGCTTGCCCCTCGCTGGGAGGGTTTATTGCCTTCCGCGCTCTTTCAGCCGAGGAAGGAAAGCCAGTGACTTGACTCAATCACAGACGCAGCATGTGTCTTGATCCCATCCCAATGTGAAACAAAACTCTGCAAAATTTAAGGAGTGAGTGCCTGATAACTCTTGTTTTGCTCCTCAGCCCTTTAATCCTGCAAAGAAACTCCATGAGATGGGATGGAAAGATCTATGAAGAGATCCCCATAGCTCACATCAAAGCTACGTACAACAAGTAAGCAAATGAGCGGCTCCTTCCCTGCTTTCATGCAGAATGACAGCTTGTAACCCCCCCGGGCTTCGGCCAGTCAGCGTTTTGATCAGAAGGCTCAAAGGAAAAAAGTCAGGGGAGTGGTGTTCATGACTGGGAAGATAATAACACTGAATCCAAACCTCAGTGCCGTTCAGGAAGCATAACTGTCCTTATAGCATCTTTAACAGCAATAAGATTGTTATTACGTGTTTTGAGTACGTTCTGGTAGGAAGAATTAGATGCTGACGACTTTAACAGCAGGTTACTTCCAGCCCTCCCCTCTAGCACTGTTGCTGTACAGCTGTTGAAAAAAACTGTCATATTCTCCATGAGAGATGGTTGTGTTTCGTTAGTGATCCCCACTGTAAAATTTCACTGTTTCTTAAAGCTCTTTCAAGTTCTAGAAATGTTTTGTGGTTTTTTTTAATAAACAGAAGAGGTAAAATGTTCATAGTGAGAGGTGTGCCTGAAAGGGCTGAGGTGTATCTGGATAAAGCATACCTTATCCAGAAACATTTTGCCATCTCTCACACTCCCTAGGGTGACCTAGGAGGTCACTGCTGGGAGGTCTCTGAAGCGGGTGTGTGTAAGTGGGATACCTCAAAAGAGAATGCTGAGTTAGGGTGGCTTGGAGAAGGGAGATGGGAGTTCTGTGGTGAGCCATGCCAGTAAGCTGAGCGAGAAGAAACGAGAATAAAGCTTTGTTCTAGCTTGATTCTTGCTTTTGCCCATCCCTCTGTAGCACCCACATCCAAGTGGTCAGCTTTGACAACACGCCGTTTGCCCACACGTCCTGTGGCACAGAAGGCTTCCAGAATGCCAAGAAGGGAACGGCCATCGCGGCACAGACCGCAGCCATGGCAGCAGCAGTGGTGAGTCTGCACTGATGATTCTCACCCTCACAGAGGGGAGCACTGCCTGCCTCTCCCCGCTCCCTGGGTACCTGCCTTGCTCACAGAGCGCTGTTCCTTAGCGCTCAAGCAGCTGTTTGCTGACAGTTCCCCTCGCTTCATCTGACACGGTGCGCATCTTCACACAAAGTGTTTGAAATGGCAGCTGGAAATGCACAGAGGGTGAACTTAGCTGTGCAGGTTGTGATTAGGGAATGTAACTCGGAGCCTGTCCCTTTTGAGCTCCAGTTAGCATAGCTCTTTTTTTTCTAAGTGAACATCTCTCAGCCATTTTGGAAATGTAGCCCCTGAATCAGCAGCAGTTCAACTTTTGCACTGTGTGGGACTGAGAAGCAGCTGTAATTACTGGCTAAATGTTTTATATTTGCTCTCTGCCACAGGAGAACTGAGCTGCTGCTGCCAGCAGTTCCAGTCAGAGAAGGTGATGTCTTTGCATGTGTAGTTTCCACCTGCATACAGTTTACTGTAATTGTTCCTAAAAAAACATGTGGGTGTCCAGGTGGCAGGAGAAGATGAGGCTGGCTGTGTCATGGTCCTCATTACAGCCGAATGAGGCAAGGTTAAACTGAAAAGCCTCATCCTAAATTAGGTGGAACTGCCTCCAGCCTTTCATGTCAGAGGTGTTTGGTGCCACTGCTGGCCAACAGCTTATTGTGGTTGACTCAGAGGAATGTAAGAACATCTTCACTATTAATCTGTGCTTATCGGAGCCTCATAATAGCTGCATAGCTGTGCTTGGCCAGATTTATTCTGTCACTGTTACAAAGTTGTTCGTACATTAATTGCACCAGAACGCAGAAAGCGAGAGACCCAGAGGAGCTCCATCCACGTGGTGGCAGCACTGCTATGCTTTGCAGCAGGAGTTCTTCACTTTCCATTTGCAAGCCCCTGGAATTTTTGCACTGAAGGTGTGGACTCCTGCACAGCAAATATAAAGCATGCCTGCTTTTCTCATTTACCCTCTAGAAGGAATCCACTGATACAGGAGAGAAGTCGCTGCATTCGAGAAGGGAAAACAGCTTTGAGTTAGCCCTTGTTAGTCCCTTGCCAGTTCAGTCACGTATCCGTGGATATGTCATTTTCTGCCCTGGCTTAAGGTCGTAGGTAGTTTGATCTTAAAACTTTCTCTGTGTGCAGAACTGACAGCCTAGCACAGAAGTTCTCTTCAAACTGCCATGGCTGTATCTGGGCCTCCTTTTCTCCCAGTGTCTTTGTGCAATAATCCCCATATTTGTCTTCTATATGCAATACTACCTACTCTTTATTTTTATTTAGAGAATACCATGATAGTGGGTCAAAAGGGAATGAAAGACTGCAGGGGAGACAGAGCAGCAGTAGTTAACATCAAAGAGAATGCTAACCAGTTGTTCTTTTCACAGAAAGCACGTGGGAAGGGTGTGTTGCATGTACGAGTCATGGTGAAAGGACTGGGACCAGGGCGCAAAGTAGGTGTCAGAGTTTCTTTTCATATTTTCCTTTCTCAGGCATCATCCAGGTTTTTTAAATTCAGGCTGGTCTCATGACTCTACCCATTAACTTGTTTTTTCTGAAGGTGATGTAAAGAATTCATCACTCAAGTGCCTGGTAATGAAGTTTTAGAATCATTCAAATTTTAGGATAATATCACTGTGGAGGCACAATAAAAGCTGTATTTGGGACTTCTTTCAACTAAAGTAGGAAAATTGTTCATGGTAACGCTGATGAAAGGACTGGAGCAGACATGTCTAAACTGGGTTTCCTGATACAAATTACTTATTTTTAAGATAATTACAAAGTAGAACCATTGGAACAAGTTGATTTTCGGACAGAGGACCAAACTATTTTCCCCTGAGCTTTTTTCCTTCTCTGCTTTTCAGTGTGTTGATAACAGCATGTCATCTGCTGTCTTGTTTTTCCAGGCTGCCATCAAGGGTTTGACTATGGGAGGTCTGGAAGTGATCTCCATCACCGACAACACCCCGGTTCCACACAACGGCTGCCGCCCACGGAAAGCCAGGCGAATGTGAGAGGGGAGTGGAAAAGACCCACAGCTCTCAACATCAGTTCATGGAATGGGGACTGGGTTGAATGTCACTCCCATGACCCTGCCTGGAAATACTTGTTGAGGGAAGCTTGAAGAAGAGAGACCATCCTGGGCCTTAAAAGCCCAGGTGGTAGAAGCTGGTGGTAAAAGCAGGAATCTGTGTGCTCTCTTTGTGGGAAGCCTCTCGTGTACAAAGTTTGTTGATTAAAATGTTGGTCTTTCGACAGCCATTCCTGCCCAGAAGTATTTTGGGTTATTATTGCCTCTCGACTGCTCTCTTCCTCTTACCCCTGTGTGTGGCTCTTGTGTAGCCCTCAGTGCTGTTATTGCTTGTTAGGTGGAAGGGGGGAGCTTGAGGTCTAGATCTCCTTCTAGTCATCTGCAGTAAACAACTGCATGGGGTCACGTCATCTTCCTTCTCTCTTTCTCTCGTTGCACACATTTGGAAACAAGGCATGGGGTAATTCTTCCCCTTTCCCCTGGCTGGCAGAGCTCAGTGTGCGGTGCGAGAGGCAGCTCTCCTTCTTCACGCAGCGTGGAGCACTGTAGTCTGGATCCAGTACTGGCACAGATCTGCTGCGGTGCTTTGTTTCGCCTGAGCTGTAGCTGGCCTGCCAGTGCTACTGGCCAACGGAATATGCCAGTCCTTCTAAAGGGGCTGGGATCTTGCCAGTTTTGATGCTTGCCGTCTCTTTGGTCCTGCCTTGTGCACCACGAACTGAATTTTCTGGGGTCCTGGGTAAAGCAAGCAGGGGGTTAGTGGGCCCGAAGAACAATGAAATGCTGCCAAGGAGATTTAAAACCCTCAAGCCTTGAACTGTACCTCTGTACATCCATAGGCAGCATGAGCTTGTCATGGGTCTGTGATGTATTATTGCTGCCCCAGCTCGAGCCAGAGAGAATTTCTGCCAAGGAAATATGTCTGAGGTTCTCTGGAGCATTAACCAGGGAAGGTAACAGCAGTAACTAACTACAGGATTGATTTCCTGGATAGTGGAGGCACACTGCCTAGCAAAGGGCAGCTCCTTGCAATCCACGCGGCCAGAGAAGCCCTGGCCATATACAGCATACACCGGGCAAATATTTGACCTGTAAACAGAGTGTATTTTGGTGCAGCCAGCAGTTCTATCACAAACCCAGAATCTTCCTTTCTATTATTTCTTTCTGTCATTCCTCCTTAGTTTCTTGAATTGCATATTAACTATTCTCTTCCTCTTTAGAGAAAGGGTACCATGGCAACAAGGCAGTGAACCTCCTTCACAGGGCTGAATGGCATACGGCAGGTTTTGAAATAAATCAGTCTGCTTAGAAGAGCCTGTTGAGTTGCATTTGACAGAAGAGAAGAAAACAAGATTCAGATGAATCCCCTACCTTACTCCAACTGTCTGAATTTAAATAGAGGGTAGGTTATCTTAAAGGGAAGTTCCTTGAGCTGTCACAGATTTGACAGCGAGGAAGGGACGTTCTTCCACAGATGTCTGACACAGTAGAAGAGCTTCCCCCTCGTTCCAGAAACATGGCTGAGCTTCTAGTCAGTTCATATTCCTCTTTTTAAGAAGAAGATACCAGGTCAGCTATAAACGGCAAAGATTAGCTCCCGAGTATCCGGGCAGCTAGCTGGGAAGGCACGTGTGAACGCTGACGAGCCTTACAGCAAGGCTGGGCTGGTTCCTGTGCCGAGCACAGTGACCGGCCCTGAGAAGGGAGGAGCACCAGCCCGCGCAGGCAGGCTGATCAGCAGTGTCCTGTCAAACACAGTGAGAAAACCAGACACTACGGTTCTCTACCACAAGCTGCTTGTTGCATCGATGCAGCAGAGGTGCGCGTGTCAGACAAAGATGATGATAGACCAAACTGAAAAACACAACTGGGAAGAGATCTGCGGTCCTTCCGAAATTCAGGGAAGAGTAGGTGGGTGTCTCGAGAGTCAGAGAGCAACGAGAATAAATCTTTGTCTTGTCCAGACTTGGAATCAAGGCTGTAGCCTTTGTAAAGGCCACTCTTTAACGCTTGTGGTTTCTGAGCACTTGTGAACATTTTACGAAGCCTGCCAGCACACCGGTACTGCTTATACAGTTGGAAGTTTTATCTCCCTGTCTGCCCTGCCTAGTTCTGGTGCCTACCCCTATTTCTTCCTCCAACTGACATTTATATAGCACTCTCTGACCTGGACAGAAGAGGCTGACGTTATTTTCCACGGCTCAGTGGCTGGATCTGTACAGCATCATGCAGTGTTTGTCTTCCAAACCCCCAGCTCCACGTACGCCCCCTGAGCTCTCCAGCACAGTGCTTCAGTCGTGCAGCAGTCACATTTCCCACCCACCTTCTCTCCTGCCCTGATGGAGCACCCCCAGAGCCATGTCCTACCAAAGTGCTCAGTCTGAGCCGTTTATTCTGCAGCACAGTGGTCAGTGAAGTGGGAGAGCGCAGCTGCACAAAGCAAGCTCTCCCACCTTGTGCAAGGGCTCCGTGGCTCCTTCCTGCACGCTCTATTTGGTGAAAAAAAGTCTTAAAACTCTCTATTCTTGTTCATCTTGCAGGGGATTAATAGACACCAATAGCACTTAATGATGTCATTACCCTTCAGATGAAACTATTAATTAAGGGCCTGGTTTTAGTCAGCCACTGGTGTTTACTAATTCTAATTGCTTTTCTTGGTGCCTAGGTGGAATACTGTTTTCTGCTGGCTCACATTCCTCCCGAGCAGCAGACTTTACTTGTCAGTAGCTCGGCCAGAGCATTAGGGTCACATCCTCTGCCTCTGGGCTTCCCCATTGCCTTGGGACACTTTTCTCTCCGTGCCCTCCTAACTTTTGATTCCCTACTCTCAAAGAAGCCTTTTTTCCTGGAAACAAACTCAGAAGCTGCTACTGACCACAGAGTTTCACCCTGGTTCAACCCTAGCCTTTCTGGGGTTTTGCCCTCCATTTTACAATACCACCCAGGCTGTCCTCCATTGTATAGGGGTGAAACACAAAACAGTGTTCTGACTTAGAGATAAAATGCTGCCTCAGGACTGTTTACCCCTTAATGAGTGCCATACCACCTTGGGGAGTTAGTCTAACTTGGTTACCCTTCCCTTGAACAGGGATGGCACCTGGTGGCTTGGAAAAATAGCCCCCAGCCTTCCCCCTAATAGTATATTATTCTGCAAAGAGGAATTATTTCCCTATCCCCAGCAACAAGGACTTTCTACCTAGGAGCCGCAGCTTTAGCTGCTGAATTGGTGATTTACTATTTCTCATGTGAGCATCTCAGTGACAAGAGTCAGGCAGCCAATTTCGATCCCTTTGTGAGATTCAATTAAACCATTAATTAAGTGATGTCAGTGTCCTTTAACAGCTGACTGTATACACAAGCAAGCAAGGAGAAGGGGACAGACCCTGCAGTGCTAATAAACTGTAGCAGCAGGGGTGGTTTACCGCAGCCCAGCTGCAGCTGCTAGGGACATCTGCGCAGGCTTTGCTGGCTTTTCCTCTGCCGCTCAGGATGTGCGCAAAGCAGGCTGGTGAGTAGGTGTTTATAACCCTAAAGCACCCCTCGGGAGCCTTTGAGAAGTAACAGTTCAAGTCAGGTAATGTTTTTGCACTCAGACTTCAGCAGAGGTGCTCCTTTCATGCCTGACGTTCTTGCCCGGCCCTTCTTCCCCTCCCAGCTGCCCCTCCAATCTCAGCCCATGACCTCTGAGACCAAAAACAGATCAAGGACCCTCAGATTGTTTTTGTGCTTTTCCAATGTTCTCCTCTCCCCTCGAGAGGAATTAATGGGTACTCAACAGCAGTGGGAACTGCTCAGAGGTTTTACTAATGAACCACCTAATAGCATCCAAGTTCCCGTGCTGATGGTGAAGCGGGGCTGCGGGGACCTCTCGGGGAGGTGCAGAAGGGAGCCAAGCCTCGATGCTCTTCGCTTTTCCTGAAACCACTCATGCCTCCTCTGCTGTGCTCTCCAAGCTCCCCCTGCACCAGTGCCACTTGGCCAGGTGCTTTCATTTCTCTGGAGTTCGTAACTCTCTTCCTGCGCCCACATCTGCTGAGAGTCGAAGGCTGTGCACAGATCCAGGACCTGGACCCAAACCTCTCGGCAGCTACAGAGCCCTGACAGCTGCTGCTTGGGATAGCTGCTCCCAGCAGCAGCTTCACAGCTGCTGCTTCTAGAGAAAGGAGGCAGAAGAGAGAAAGGGTTGGGTGCGAGGGGCTGAATGGCTCAGCAAAGACGTGGGCAACTAAAAGGTGGTTTGGGAAAGAGAGAGAACATGGAGGAAAAAAATGCAGGAAAATACAACATTAAAAAACCCTTTTCTAAGGCTAAAGTCTCCCAGCTGGTGGTCCAAGAGTCAGCACAGCTTCAGGGTTGGGCTAGATGGGCTCCCCTTTGCTGTTCTCCCAGCAAGACCTCCACGTCAGAAGCACAGGATGGCCTTGCTCTGGAGCCCTCCCTGCCAGCACGACCAGCTCTTTGGGGCTTTCACTTCACCGCTTTAAAGAAGGCACAAAAAGCTGTATTTAGAAATGGCTCCAAAGCCTCTCCAAGTGGCAATAACACTCCTCAAAGCCTTCCTTCCCTTTCCAAGCTGGCTCCAAAATCCCTCCTCTGTTCTTTGCCGCTTAACGATTCATTTTGCAAAGCCGGAGCAGCTGGGATTGATGTCCACCATACCTCCTAGCCACAACACTAAAGACTCCAGCTTTTGGGCCTTTCTCCCTCTGCCTGCTCCTCTGTGCAGGAGCAGCCCAGGCTTCCTACTGCACGCAAGACTCCATGGTAACAAACAAAACTTGGGGCCCTGGGCAGGAGAAAGACACATTTCATCCCCCGGCCACTCATCTCAGCCCCTTCAGCAGGTCCCAAGATGAGGTGGTGGAATAGGACTGTCATCTCTTCATGCGCCAGCCTGCAGACAGACAACTTGCTCTCTTAATTGCCAGCCATGGCTCTCCCGCAGCCCCTTCCCAAGACCTGGGTGCTGCCTTTCATTTTGCTCCTGCCAAATGCACAGAAGTAAATTATCAACTTCCTGAGCTTCCAGGGTAAAACTGACCAAGGAATGCAAACAACTTCAGACAGGCAGCCCTCTGTGCTTCTCTGTAATGCCAACAGCCGGGAAGTAGCCTGCTCCAGCGCTGAGAGATGCTCCGAAACGATCTGCCCTTGGACTTGGTTGCAAAACCAGCCCTGCTTACTGAAATCCCTGCAAGAGAAGCAGTGCAGCCAGCTGGGGAGATCCCC